ATCCTCCTTGATTGCCATGGTAAAACTTCTCTCCATGGCAAAACTTCTCTCAACCCTGACAAGCAACATTTGTGTATCGCCACTACCCTTGTCCGCAACCTGGGAGTTACAACTTATTCTTTCTTAGTATGGTTCACATAATTAAGCATGTATCAGTCGGTTTAAATATTCTTTTTAATAATTGTCTATGACTCTGAGTACTTTTCAAGTTTAAAAGTGATGAGCAATATTTTTTTTTTCACAAGTCTATGACCTTAGTAAATCTAGAAACACAAACATAGATATGATATGACACAGACACGATGACATGTCAATTTATAAAAGTGTTGGTAAATTTAACCCAAAAAAAAAAAAAAAGGAAGTTACCCTAAGCCTCTCCCGTTTCCAACTTTCTACTTTCCCTTCCTCCATTTCCCCAATTATTCTTTCCCTCTTCCCATCTTCATTCAATCTCCCTCCCTCTCTCTACCTACTTCGATAGACTTCATCGTCGGCCTCTAGTGACGTTATCATTCTATTGCCAACTACTTGAAAAGTTTGAAAATTTTGAATGACGTGTCCATCACGTGTTCGAAGAAGGAGTGAATCCTCATAAGCCATGTGGGTAATATGCATTATTATACAGAAATGGTAGAATTCTGTCCCACTCCAAAAGTCGATTCGAAGGGTAACAGAATTGAGGGAGTGAATCCTCATAAGGCATGTGGGTAATTAGCATTGCAGTATTATACATAAATTGCGTAATTCTGTCCCACTCCAAAAAGAGGATTAGCCACCACTCCAAAAAGTCGATTAGCCACCACTCCAAAAAGAGGATTAGCCACCACTCCAAAAAGAGAATATGCTACCTGCTAAAGTATTCCCGATACACCACCACTGCAAATGAGAGTACTTTTCTATAAACCACCTATCCTAAAGCGAGATTCTATCATTGCGATTTCACCCATGATCTGAGTCACCCAAAGGTCAAGACAAAGACTCATACCTCATGTAGCCCACTCCAACGGATTATGTGGGTGGAATATCACCCTTTATCTTCTCATTCTCATCCATGGTAAAGACAATATAACTCTTCCGGTAAGAATTATAGCGCCTGTTCAATTTTGTGCAGGTGTCTCAACCATGTGGTGATCCAGTCTCCTCCAAAATATAATCAGAGTAAAAGGAACTATAGTTCGAATTACCTTTTCTGGAGAACGGCGTAAATAAAGTCAACGTACCGCTCTCTATCATATGAATGTAGTATCTATCATGGGATAATTTCATTAGTATTAGTTGTGATAAACTAATGCGCCACTTCCCGGTGAAACTGGACCACAAGATTATTTGATAGTAGAGAAAGAGAAAGAGTACTTTTGTTAGTAGTACTCAAGAGTGTATGATTTATTGAAGGAGTAATGAGTATTTGTAGAATATAATATTTGTAAAGAAAATAAAAGTAAGAGTAGTATGAGATTTATTTAATTGTATGTCAGTTGAATATTATGTACCTAAAGGGTAACACTTTTTGAACACTCTTTGATACATGCCTTTATCGAATAACCTCTTTGCTTTGGTGTAGAACAAAATTGGGATCCATGGGTCTAAACCATGGAAAAAAATTTGGTCAGGTTGAGGATAAGGAACTAAATTTCTTGTCTCCTTCAATAAATCTAAGATATATCATCTTTGAAATCATTTCCATATATACAATAAAAAATGAAATTTTGTTATATTATCAACTTAGACATCAACAAATCTAATGACAACTGTAGTATTTCCATGAAGAAGCTTGGTAACGTGTGTTTTCTTTGTAAGCTCCTTATATTATTCAAAGTAGCATTTCTATTTTTTTTGCATATTTCCTAATCGTTGTCACACATATCTGAGACTATAATTGAATGTAGGAGAGGCAAATACCCCAATAGACTTACTAGCAAGGGAATTAACAAGCCTACCAAACTACTAGCAACAATTTTCATAAAAGTCAAAGAAAAAATAGTTATAACATATTATGCGTTATAAGGCACTCATTTGATAGGTGTTAGGCAATGAGCATTAGGGTCATATAATAGCATAGCACCCAAATAAGATGCAAAATGAACATAGGAATTGGCATTGAACACATGATAAACAAGGGTGGGGCATACTTGGAATGGACTCTTACCAAGGAGAATATCATTTGAGTGAGAAAAATGTTTCATAGAAAGACAATTGGCTTGGCTAGCAAAGATTGAGAGCATTTGTGGTCTTTACAACATTCACAAAGTAGCAATCCCTTCAACAAAGACCAAGAATGAACCAATCTTTACGCCACTAGTCTGTCTCTAGACCAAGTTTAGACTAGTCTCCTATCTTGAAAAGAGAGGGAGAAGGTCTTCGGCTTTGGATAGGAATGAGTCTCCTGGACTTAAAGGCTTAACTACGACTTTTCCCAAGATAAATGGGATTGCGTGAAGGAGGATTTATGAAATACTTTTGGCAAATTCTTAAGAAGGATCTATGATCATGAAGGTACGTGTGAGACCAATGTGTGCCCGGTCACAAGCTTACATAAGATTATTTGTATGTTAAAATCTTGGCAGATAGTTGAAGAAAGCTCTCCCTAGCACCCTTTCTAGTTTTCATGGGCCTCATTATTGGAAGGAAAATTATAGACAAGCTAATGGGACCATCAATGATTATAAGCAAAGAAAGAAAGGGTGATTTACGAGATTAATTTTTGACAAAAGATTTATGACAATGGAATTTTGAGGCCACCGTTAGCCAATATTGTCCACTTTGGCTTGTTATGTATTGTTACTTATTGCATATCGCTCTCAGTCTCACGGTTCTAAAACTCGTTTGTTAGGGAGAGGTTTTCCCACCCTTATCCAACCGATGTGGGATCTCACAATCCACCCCACTTGGGGGTCAGCGTCCTCACTGGTACACTGCTAGAAGACATTGTCTACTTTTACCCGTTACGTATCGTCGTCAATCTCACGGTTTCAAAATGCGTCCGTTAGGAAATGGTTTCCACACCTCATAAGAAATGCTTCATTCCCCTCTCCAATCGATGGGGGATCTTATAATCCACCCCCCTTGGGGGCCAGCGTTATCACTGGCACACTTCCCGATTTCTGGCTATGATATCGTTTGTAACGGCTCGAGGCCACCGCTAGTAGATATTGTCCGCTTTGACCCATTACGTATCGCTATTAGCTTCAAGGTTTTAAAACGCATTTGTTAGGGAGAAGTTTTCACGCCCTTATAAGGAATGCTTCGTCCCCTTCTCCAACCGATGTGCGATCTCACAATCCATCCCCTTGGGGGTCTATGTCCTCGCTAGCACACTGCTCGGTGTCTAGTTTTGATACCATTTGTAACGACCCGAGGCCACCGCTAGCAGATATTTTCCGCTTTAGTCATTGCATACCGCTGTCAACTATAAGATTTTAAAATGCATCTGTTGGAGAAAAATTTCTACACCCTTATGAAAAATGTTTTGTTTCTCTCTCCCACCGATATGGGATCTCACATTTTCAAAGTTGATTTAGACTAAACTCATGATCTTGTTGACAAATTTAGGAAGAAGGGTTTGGACGAAAATGGAGATCTTCTATTTGAGATTGCATTAGGTCTACAAATTTCTCCATCTATTCTCAACTAAAAGCCTGTGTAAGATTTTTTTTTTTTTTTTGCCTTATTGCCCTTTTTCATTTTAACTAATGGTGGATGTTTGTAGTAGGTTAGTGTCGCTTTGAGAGGAGAAGGGATTCAAGGTGAGAAAAGAGTTAAGAGGCATTGGAAAATTACTCTAGGAACCTTCATTGTTCTTTTAAGCTATGACCCACCTTACACTCAGACCAAAGATGTCCCAAAACATAGCTTAGAAGGACAACAATTAAAGGCCAAATATGAAACTTCTACCCCATTAATTTTTGGGGCATCTTTGGTTGCGTGTGAGGTGGGTCGGTTTCCCTCCTATTTCTGTTGGGAGATACTCGAGGAGCTAAAGTGGAATTTGAAAATGGTTTGCCTTACCTGAGAAATGTTTTTTTTTTCTTAAAGAAAGAAGGCTTACTCTTACCCTATCAATGTTGAGTGAGATCCCCATTTATCTCATCTCTTTTTAGATGGTGGGTTTTACGGGGTTTAGGATTTAGGGTTTAGGGTTGAAAACTAGATAACAAGACCGCGTTGGCTAAATGGTTGCAATGATTCTAAATAGAGTTCAATGCTTTGTGACACAGTTATTGTGAGCATGCATGGCCCACACCCTTCAAGTTAGTCTAAGTGAGTGACAGATGATGACCCCAAAGGGCCTAATAAAAATCTTTAGAAAGCTGAGTGTCTAAGGTTTCTCTTCCTCCATTAGGGAGGGATTGAGTGTTTATTATTGGGAAGATTGGTAAGTGGGTGATCAACCCCTTTGTGAATTGTTCTTATCTCTTGAGTAAGATTTCATTTTGTGGCTTCTATCGTACCGTTCCTGGGTTTTAAGTGCCACATTTCTAATAAATAGGAATTATAGATGCAGCACGTCTCCTTTCTCTTCTCCTTTATCAACATGCGTTTTGAAGAAGGGACCGTGTTTCCTCGAATTCTTCAGAGGGATTCTCTTGAAGTTCTTTTTTCATATAATGTGTCCTTTCTCCGCCCCAAACCACTTCTACTTTCCACTCTCTTTAGAAGGTTAAAATCTCTATGAATGTTAAATTTTTTAATCTTCTTTTGAGTTGTCCCCATAATCCTCATCATTAGTTGTGAGATACTAGTTTGTTCAATCTGTTTCTCTGGTTTCGATGCTAGTTTTGTTTAGCTTATGTTTGGTGTAGAATTGTGGTTTTTATGCTATGATTGAGGTTATAAGAACATTTCTGTATTTTACCTACCTGTGTTATATGAGTAAGGATTCTTGCTTTTCCTTTGGTCGTCCTTTCTGTATTAAAGAAATGAGGACAAAACTTTTAACGGTAGTTACGTGCATCATTTTCTTTGCACCAACTCTTTTATGCACTTCCATAATTGCGATGCAGCTTATTGAATATTATTAAGCGCTACCAAAGCCACTTTGAAGGGAGAAGTGAAAGTCAAAACGAGGTTGATACAAAGGTCAGTAAGGATTTATAATCTCTGAGCTTTGTTTTGAAGGAATAAGTATGCTCCACATACAAGAAAAAGACTAAAAAAGTTGCATCTCATTTCTGCTGAGTTTTATGCAGGAGAATGAAGAATCTGATGAGACACTCATGGTGTCATTTGGAAAGCTCCTACAAACTATTCAAAGGCAATTTTCTATATTTGAACTGGTCATTTTTAGGTATCATAATTGCTCTAGCTTGACTGACGTGTCCTCATTTCCAGTCATGTTGAAGAACCAGATTTCAAAAAGCTCAATGTAAATGATATGGTGCACCTGGAGAATCAACTTGAAGCCTCACTTGACAAAATCAAATCTCAAAGAGTGAGTTCACTTGTTTGGCTAGAATATTCATCTAAGATTTCGACTTGTTAACCTAACCTGACAATGATTTAAAATGGTTTTAAGTCCTCTATCAGTGACTTGTGCTACATCAGCAAAACTAGCTTTGCCTTCTGTACACAATATTTCTAGCAGCACCACATGCATGCCCTACGGATGTGGCAGCTGAGTTGTTTGTTATCAAAGAGGATATTCTTAGTGATTGTGGTGCACGACGGAGTTTTGGACTAGCCTACTCAATGCACTAGGTTCCTCTCCCTCGCAAATCACCCATACGAGGAAAAATAAGTTTCATGGTCTTTAGTTGCGATACCACCATCAACCGTAATGAAGTACCTTGCCTTTATGAAAGTAGTGTCACGGTCATGCTCGTCTAGGGTGTGTGTGTTGCCCATGGCCGCATGCCCAAGACAAGCCAAACCCTTGTCATGTCTTTTCATTCTAGTGTTTTTACTTTTGTAGTTTTAGGGCGTATGACTCCTCAAAAATATCATATCAGGCCTGCCAGATATGAAATGCCTTAGAATGTACTATAGGGGGATATGACTAGTTGTCAACTTCTCCCTACCCAAGGTTATATATGCTAAGTCGTTGTTATCTCTCTCTTGCTTGCTTATATAACGTCTCTTTCAAAAATCTCTCTCTACTCTCGTTTTCTAAAACCTTCTTTTAAAACTGAGGCTAGAGGCTCGATCATACATCGCTTGGCCGCAGGCGACATAAGAACAAATTGGCTTACCTCACTTGTCGTTGGAAAGTGAGTGCCGCACAATCGCTAGTCCGTTGCCTTCAAAAGTGCGATTGTGTCAAGTAGCACATGACTTGAATATTTGAAGAAATACTCAGTAAGTGACCCCACTATTGTGGTCAAGAAATGCAAACACATTCAATCATAATTAGGAACCTATCATTTAAAACCATAGAGGTAGTCTCCGATCCAAACAAATTGGATGTGTGGTACTTCCCTACATAGACCCACGTGTGTGAGAGTGGCCCACCAGGCGGGCTCACACACCCCCTGGGCCTGCATAGTCAAGCTAGTTGGTTATAATCGGCCATCCAGCGGTACAACAACCTCGTAGATCATGCAAAGCATGATAGTCATCATCATCATAGTGTACGCGTCCATACTCATCATAAAAGGGAAAGTATCCCGATGTGAATGAACATACAATATGAATGAGGTCCCTATACCTTTAATCTTAAATCATTCATACAACACAACCCCAAATATCCTTCACATATTACCCTAAATAACATGCATGCATAAGCTTTCATATATTCATCTTCATAACATTACTTAGGGGTCGTGTATCAAAAAAAACTTTTCATTTTCATAACACAATATGACATCTCATACATGCATATCACCGTAACATGAGATATCATTATACTTTATTATATCATCATACATCTCATGTCATCCTAGCATGTTACATCATCATAACTTATCATGGTATCATAGCGCATCACATCATCATAACATCATAGCAACATATTACAACATTAACATATATCACATCAACATACATAACACGTGCAGTGGTCACTAGACACATGTCATCATACATAAGACAAGTCATTCGACCAAACCAATAGTAAGACCACTTACTTGATTGGCCTAGGCCGAAGTTACTATGACCCCTTGATGCTTGATGCCGACTTAACACTGCTCTTTGAAATAATTGAACCTAAGTTTGCATAAAATAATTTAAACTAGCTAAAAGGTAGTTATACTAACCTTAAGCACTTTCAAAGAGCTAAAACTAATAGGAAAAAATTCGAGTATACCAGATCCAAGCCAAATCAACCGAAATGCCGGCCAAAAGCTGTCAGAAAGTGTGTTCTTTGTTTGGCTTCAAACCGTGCAAGTGGGATGATGAAATGAAGCAAGAGACCTCCCTTTTATAGTAGAGGTCAATTCACCCCTTCTCAACCTAAGTGATGTGATGTGGGACAATTTCCCTTCCTTTTTCTTTCAAAATTAGTGACAGAACAACATACTCAATACTCTATGTCCTTAAGAGGTAACAAAACGACACATGAGGAATACTCAATACTCTATGTCCTTAAGAGGTAAGGAAACAACACATGAGGAAGAAGGTGTCCAGCCTGCTTATCATTTTGTTGGTGATAAGTAGAAAATGGACTTAACTTGAGACAACTTGGAGACGACCTTGGACTTCAAGGAAGAAGCACTCATACAGTTTAGGTGAGTCGGCATATGTGGAAGAAACTATGCAACAAGTGTGCACAAAGTGCACAAAAGCCTTAGTGTTGAGGTATGACAGACCCTTTGAAGTGATCAAACAAGTGCACAACGTGGCTTATCATCTGAAACTTCCCAACAAGTTGAAAATTGACCAGGATCAAAAACAAACAAGGCGAGTTCCAACTATGATTAAAAAGTGTTTTGAGAGGAAGGTTGAGAAAATCCTTGGCCATTAAACAATTGTCAACGGACTGATTACTTGGTAAAATGGAAAGGCGAAGATGACATAGAGCTTTCTTGGGATAGAGATGTGACACTGACAATTTGAAGACTAGATATGAGTGCTAGTTGAGGATAGATCCAATGAAGGCATTGACAGGCTCAAGGGAAGGAGGTTTGTTAGGAGATCTCGATCTTGAAACATGCAAGATGGGACTTACATGAGTTAGTGACACGGTGTGGTGGGGCAACACACTAAAGAGCAAAAGACAAGGCAGACAAGTAGACAAAGGTGGTAAGGGACTAAACATACCTTGGATGTTGATGGGTGGTCGGCAATCCACGATCGTGAAGGGGCATGGTTACCATCCTGCTTAGCACACAATCATTGTTGGCGAGTAGGCAGGAAGACATGCACGACAAAACAAGGCAAAAGCAAGAAGACATGGCAAACATAAAGTATGAAACTCCCATGAGCTGACAGCAATATGACATGAACACATGGTACAAAACATGCGTGCACGCAAATAATCTCATAGGTATGCACATACGCACATCCAGATGCATAGGCTCACATGCTTAAGCCTAACGTAACGTGCAAGGAGGATTGAACAGCAATCCGACAAGCAAAGCACTATTAATGGGCTCATTAATAGGGGTAGACCGTTCACAAGGAGGATTAACAAAGGCATCTGATTCCCCAAGTTTTTGGAGTAATAAAGACAATTCCTCTTTTTCATAACTCAAGCACGCATAATTCCCAACCTTTATGGAGATTTTCTCTATCCTGTCCTCATCTGTACATGGTCAGATGCTTTGAGGTATCTGATCTTTGTGTTCAAGCCATTCACAAAATTTCTTTCCTGATCTAAGTTAGGTACGTTTGGTAATAACGGTTCCCTAGATGAAAAACTCAAAAAGGGAACATACCTAAAATGGTTCTACACTGAAAAATGCTTGTGCATGGTTCCTTCAAGTTCAGATAAGTTCTTCTGTACCCATCTAAATCATGCTCCTGCTTTCATAGATATCAGGGCTCAAATATAACATTTTACAGCCAACTCCTTCATAAATGGGTGTGCAAAAGAAGAAAAAGAAAAAAGAAAGAACTCTGCATTAATTATAGAATGAAAACAGTTCTCTTTTCTCCATCACTGTCAAAACGCCTGACAATCACATTGATATTAGTGGTGACTGTAAATGAGGAAGGGGGTGAGAACTAGAAACCACCCAATTCTCAACTTTGTACGGAAACATGCATCCAACGAAGCCCTCCACTACATTTGATCAGCTTCTCAAGCTTGAAGAGGAGTACTAACTACCTGATCCTCAAAGTGTTAACTGACTCTTAAGGCTGCACTTTTCTGGAATTCGTGAACCCGGAGGGATTCTGAGCAGAAGCTCAAAGCATTCTATAACTAACTACTACTTGATCCTCAAGTGTATTGAATTGACATATAGTTCAGTGGAAATTATAGACTTCTCCATACTTAGTAATCAAAATCGCTGTATGAAATTGAAATCAGTTAGCACATGCTGTAGTATCAGTTAATAAGAAACTCCTAAAAAATAATTTCAGAAAAATAGAAGAATATGTAAATATAGGAAGATACACCACCTGATTTTCCAATATGTGGAGTGGTTCCAATGAATGCTATGCACTCTTGTTTGGGAAGTAAGGGGAATTGTATGAGATTATGCTTCTGCTTTTGCTTCAGGGGAATTGTATGAGATTATGCTTCTGCTTTTGCTTCAGGGGAATTGTATGAGATTATGCTTCTGCTTTTGCTTCATTATTCTGATTCTAGATGAACAGGGGGATAAAATCCTGATACTAATGATGATTTTCCAGTGAGGAAGCTAATGTTACATTGACTAGCTATCATATTAGCGGGAAAAAAAATTGTAATAGCTATCTTTTTACTTGCAGGTTGAGGCAATGATGGAAAATAGCAGTTGGATAGACAAAATGGATATGGCTATCGCCATGGTCGACAGCCAACTTTAATTAGTGAAGTGCCTCGAACAACAATGTGGTTGATATTGTAGTCCCAAATAAAATAAAGAGAAGCTGCACAATTGTATGAGTTCCTAACACCCTGCTAAACTGCAAAAGCAAATCAGCATACTATGTGACATCTGAATATACATATAATGGTTCTAGCATAATATCAGGTAAAATGACCACGCAGCAGCAAACACTTACTTGATGCCTGCATAATTAAATTTTATCCATTAATGCTTGTAATTTTCCATAAAACTTTATTTAGTGAAATCTTCTTGGTGTCAGCCGATAGGGCATTATATTTTTAACACCTATGAAATAAGAGGTACCCAGAGAAGTTTAGGGATTTAATTTAACCGAATATTGAGATAGAAAAGAAGGTGATGGGCCAATGGCTTTGATTGTTTACTGAAAAGAGCTCAAAAACCATTTTGGAACCTTAGGGAAAAAGATCCATTGATGACATGGGTCACTGGTTAGAGCTTGTTTGGCCATGAGAATTGGAAGTGCCCCTCGATTGAAGGACTCCAATGGGTTTGAGGTTCCTATGATCTGGTCATCTCTCACCAAAGAGTAATGATGCAACACCTTAAAAGAAAAAGATTAATGCCTCAAATATGTTGTGATGTTCCCTTCTCTACTCATGAAGCCATGATGTTGTGGATTTGGTTGTTCCATATACAAAATGGATTAGGTCAGTTTATTGAAATCCTTGTTTCTAATATGCCATATTGTGTAGTCCGTTCAAGGCAATGACTCTTTATCCACCCTGCTGCTTCAAATCGTGGCAATGGGTCATGTTCCCTTCTCTACTCATGAAGCCATGATGTTGTGGATTTGGTTGTTCCATATACAAAAGGGATTAGGTCAGTTTATTGAAATCCTTGTTGTTTCTAATATGCCATATTGTGTAGTCCGTTCAAGGCAATGACTCTTTATCCACCCTGCTGCTTCAAATCGTGGCAATGAGAACCCTAAACTCTTTATCCATATTGGTGACTCTTTATCCACCATATTTGTAGGCCTATATGTTCTTGATTGCAAAACACTTTTGAAATAGAAAAGGGAAGCATAAGTGAACGCTACAGTTAACAAATTCTATAAACCTTTGACAAGAAGACTGGGACACATTAGCTCAAGAGGGCCTTATGAGAACGTTGTATCTATGGAAAAGCAAAAAGAGGGTTCAGTCAGAAAAACAAACAACTAAAGTCATAATCTAGGCCTGCAGAAGTTCAATCATTGAGTGGAGGCCAATATTACTCAAGGAAAGGAAAGTGTGGATGGATACATGTTCCCAAGACAAGGGATCAAGCTTTCCCAAGATTCAGATATTGGAAAACTCACATGGAATGTCTACTTTCCCTTTATCTTGTAGTACCTATGTTTCTTGTTTTATTTTTTTTTTTTTAAAGAAAAAAATACACAGTAAAATCTTGAAATTTTGGAGTTTCTATCATCAAATTACTGTGATCTGGAAATTTTATTGACATATTAAGTGGTAAAAAAAAACATTCGAACACTAAAATTTCTTTTCAGAAATATATTTTTTGAAATTTTGATGGGCTAATTTATGTTTTTTTTTTTTTTTTTTTTTGGTTATGATTGTGTTATTGAATTCCAGTCTTAATTTATAAAAAAAAAAAAAACTCTAGGATAAGTTGTGAGGAACTCCATCCAAACAAAATCCGAAATATTCTGAAAAAAATAATAATAAAGAAACAGAGATCTGAAATATCCGTTGAGAATGAACAGGTTAGAAATCAAAGAGAAAGGTAACAAATCCAATGCCAAAACCTACCTTGTAAAACAGATTTATACATCTTCAAGAAACATGTGGTTTGGCTTAGGTAAAACTCGATCACAAAAGAAATGGAGAACTAAAATAATATTTACTCACATATCATCGACAGAAACTCGCTGCACACATTAACGCGTAAGCGCGCTCAATGACCGCACATGAATCTCCTGAAAATGAAAGTCTGAAAAAGAGAAAACAATATTCTAGTTTCTAAGTCGATCTTCGCTAGAACATCACCATACCGTGTTAATCGTCCATGATACCGGCGACGCATATAGCGGTCCGGCGAAACGTCAAGATTTAAACAATAAGATCATGAAGTAATTGAGAAATCAAGTCTATAATTAACGAGTCGACAAGGAAGAATCACAAAACAGCAATATAATTCAAACTAATCATCAATCATTACCTGGCTCTGCGAGATACCACGATCTCCACCGCCAACCACTTCTCACATGCAGTAGCAGAAGGAGCCAATCTGATCATAATAATTAAACAGAGACAACACAGCCTCCGAAACTACCGCCATCGATCGATCAAACACGAATTGCAGCGTCGCAATACCTATAACAAATGAGAGCAAATCCAAACACGTTTGCCAGACACAATAATATATAATCCGATCGATGCAGCTACAGTTTGAGAACGAAATCGTCTCACCGGAAGATCCATATAGTGCTCTTGCCTGTGCGCGATGGCCAATGGAAGAAGAAGCGTATAGGAACAAAAAGCACCGCAACAGCAATCGCACCGCAACAGCAATCGCACCGCATGGCGAGAGGTTTGGGCGATCAATGGAAGAATGGCAAGCGGAGGAGAGAGACGAAGAGGAAGGAGAAGATCGACATGACCGCCAAAGTCGTTTCGGTCTGGTGTTCTTTTCCGTGAGCCTCACAGAAACTTTATTTCCTCTCCCTCTGACAGATCCCTTCCCATTGTCGAAAAGGTCTATTTTGACTTATGCCTCCTTTTTTTCTCCCTTTAAAACCATTTTCTTAAACCCTTTTTATTTATTATTATATTTTAGTTCGCCAATATTATAGAAAAATATATTTTGTTAAATAGTACCCTATATTTTAAGATAATGGTAAAAAATGGATGATAAAAATAATTTAAAACAACGCCCTCATTAAAATTATAGCATCAAATAACTTTTACTATAATCGTCGGACCATTAAACGACTTGGGAGCAAGTATTTTGAGGCTCGTCCGTAAAACAAAAGAATTATCATCATTTTATTAGGTCTGTAAATAGGAATCTATTTAGTGAAAAATTCTAGTTTACCCTAAAAAAATAGAGTTAGGAAATGAGTCGGTTTTGTGAAAAATTAAGACTTTCATATCCCTGTTCTTCGTATACTCTCCCTACCCATTCATTTGAGTGAGACAAAAAGAGAATGGAATTTCGTAAAGCTTACAACGTCGTTTTCACAATCTCTGTGAAGTGACTATCCTTGCTCCAAAGACGGAACCAAGAGAGAGCTGATATCATTGTCAATTTTAAACCCAGATGCTAGACTCATTAAAAGTCACTTAACAATTGGCAAATGAGCCCATAGCTCGACCACCAAGAAGATTGAAGAAGATGTTCTTATAAAAGTGTTGTCATAAGTCCCAATCTAGTGGACAAGGACGAGATATGAAGACTTTGTCGTCTCCAAAGATATCACTAAGTTAGTAACCGTGCATAACCTTTTTTATTTAAGGGGTTATATTGGATTAAGTAATTTAAAAAAAAAAACAAAAAAAAAAACAAGCTGTCGATAAAACGGCTTAACTACAAAAGATCAACTAATATCCTTATTAGGGTTTAGGGTTAGGCATGACTAGTAACGATTTACTTCGACTAAATTTATAATTAAATAATTTAATTTTGTCGGGAGATAATATCAATTTATCCGCTAATTCATTCTATAATTCTACACTTTTCTGCTGGATAAGGTCCCATATGATTCGGACGCCTCTAAATCCCGCTTGACCTGCTCTCCACCGTCTGATCCACGCGTTCTTCTTCTCTGCATTTTCCATTTTTGGCTTCCTCGATTATCGGTACGGATAATTTCCCTTTTTCTTTTATTTTCCTTTCTTTCCATCCAAACAGACTTTAATCCGAGAAAATCCATTAACTGGACTCGGATTCCTTTCGCCGCACCATTTCACACCCTACTTCTCTCTCTAATTTACTCCCATTTTCCTTTTTCCCATCTCGTTAATCCAACCTTCTCTTTGCACTCTCTTCTGATCAAAGCCGCTATGATTTTCACCACCAAAACCGTTCTGGGATTTCGTTGATTTGATTGGTTCATTGTGTATGGTTAGCCAATCGTCTCGGTTTTAGCGATCTCCGGAGATCGTTTGATTTTGCGCTCTTTGTTGGGGTTTTCTTCTTGTTCTTCTTGTTTCTGGGTAAAGGATAGTGATGATGAGTAGGCCTCAAGAAGATCCGCAATCTGGGGTTGAGATTTTGCATGAGGTTTCGTCTCTGCTTTTGAAAATTCTCCGATCGCCGCCCCCGCCGGTGCCTTTTTCCGATCATGTTCTGGAATTGTCTTCCGTTATTTCGTCGTCGTCGTCGAGAATTTTGCCTTCGTCGCAGATGACATCGGCTGGATTTGCGTCGCTGCTTTTGGGGATTTCGCTGGCTTTGATGCTCTGTGGATCGGTTACTTTCTTTCTGGGCTTCATCTTGATGCCTTGGATTCTCGTTTTCGCGATGATTTTCTATGTGGTTGGGATCGTTTCTAGCCTCTCGATGCTGGGACGCTCTATGCTTTGTTGTTTAACTGCTCCAATGCCCCGGAAAGATTTCAATGGTGAATTTCTCATCTGCCTCTGTTTCCATCTTCTATTGGATTTTATTTTTGTTTCATTTCCTTATCTGAATTTTCTTGCTGGATGTTTGTTATCATCAATACTTGCATATTATCTTTATCTCTGAATTCTCTTATGGCTTCTGCTTGTGAAATATTCGTTGTATCTTGTTCATTGCCTTGCCAATTATCTTGTCAATAATTGATGTTTACTTCGTTTCTTAGATTAGATTGATATTGGTGCTATCTGACTAATTATTAAAGATAAATCCTCAACCCGACTGATCATGTCCTTTTCTGATATACAAAGTATCGGATTTCACTAATTCTATTCGTGGGAAATTTTGAACCAGACCATTTATACTTTGTGGGGCTTCTTCGATAGCTTTTTTTGTCTGAGTCCCAATTTAACAATAAAAAAGTCGAACTAATTGAATTTTCTCAGGCTTGTTAGATTTGGTAGGTGTGGCTGTGTGGTAATGGCTTGAGATGAGGATTCCCTCTAAGATCGGTGGGTTCAAGTTGTTGAAAATATGATAGCACTTTGGAGCTATTATGTGAATTAATGAGGTGGGCCGTGAGAATAATTCACAGAATGGGTCTAGATGACGACCCCGATATTCAATAACTTGTGAACTTTCCTTCCAATAAATTGATGTTTACTTCACCTTCTTGATTTTTCTCTGTGATTTTTCTTAATGAATGCACACGCATATATAAATCTGAAAGGGAAATTTAGCTAGGCTAGTTCTTTATCAAGTGTAAGAGTGAGAAATATCGCCCATATGTTGGCATTTATTTCCTCGTGCTTCCATCCGATGCATTTGAATTCCTTGCAGTCCCCCAGTACGAGCATGCTTAAAAATTTTGGTTGTGTTTTTTTGTGTATATATACGTCCAGCATGCTTGAATTTTTAGGACGGGTATTTGCGGGTGATTGGGTCGAGTTTTTTGTAAGATGAATTGTGCCTCTGCTTGTGTCCAAAGAATATGTTTGAAGGTGCTAAAGCAATTTTTTGCGATATCGACGAATTGGATTGTTTTGTGGGCTTGTGTGATCGGTGCTTGTTCTCAACGAAGGCTCGGTTTCTTATAAATGAGTATGTTCGTGTGACCGGTGCTTAGAATATTGTAGGTTATTGAGTTTGTTTATTTGTTATTATTGTTGCTGCAGCTTGGAAACAAATGTAAATATGAAGAAACCTTGGTTCAACCAGATAGTTGAATTGTTTGCGAGAGGATGGAGCGCTCGGGGCTTACAGGAGAAACCGAGTAAAGGTGCCCTTGTGAATGAATGGTGCTGCCTCTAGAAACATATAGGCAAGATGAAGTTTGAATTATTTACCACCGTTTGTTGTTTTTTGAGGTTGTGGAGTGACATTGTGTTGTGTATCTTCTGCTTTTAGGACTTTTTGAGTCCATATGTGTAACTGCCACTGTTTGAAATGCCTGTTAGGCTATAAAACAAAAAGAAATAAAAAAATGTCGCAACAATTGTGAAGGTTCATTTTCATGGTGTGTCTTCTGCTTTCTTTGGAATCTGGAGGGAGGTTTTGTCATGTCATTGGTTGGGGAGGAGACCAAAATACCCTTTATAAGGGTGTGGAAACCTTCCCCTAGCAGACGCGTTTTAAAGCTTTGAGGGAAAGTCTGAAAGAAAAAGTCCAAAGAGAACAATATCTGCTAGCGGTAGATCTGGGCCGTTACAGGTTTCGTCTTTCCGAGAAATCTTGGCCTAGACTCTCAGGTATCAGTCTAAGTCTACCGCTAGCATGTCCTCTTTGAGCTTTCCCTTTTGGGTTTCCCCTCAAGGTTTTCAAAATGGGTTTATTAGGAAGAGGTTTCCATATTCTCATAAAAAAATGTTTCGTTCCTCTCTCCAACCGATGTGAGATCTCACAATCTTTGTCTGGCTTTGCTGGTACTCGTTCCCTTTCTAGTTGACGTGTTAGAGCTATTTGTTTGTGTAACATCTAACTCCAAGTGCACTAAAATTGTTCAACTTTATGTTCTTTTAGATTAACCATATTCAGATCTTATAGAAAAACGTTCATAGCCAAGACAAAGCCTTAAGATAGCACAACTTCGAAATGATGAAGCCTACTATATGTTAGATAACTCAACAATTTTGCTCACATACTTGAAAAGCTAGTACTAATCAAAACGAAGCTGAAGTGACTTTGCATTTGGTGGAAGAATTAGAAACGAACAAATGTAGAGGTGAAGCTTGATTAACCAATGTAGAGATGAACCTTGATGGCGAGCAAGAAGACGCAAATGAGACCGAAGTAGAGAAGAGAATGAACGACGATAGCAGCAGCGCTGGTGTGAAAGTTGCCAAACTCTAAGCACCTACGATTTCCAGGAAGCTGGAAGAGCAGCCCTGGTGTTAGCAGAACAAACAGAATGACAGCCACAAAAACTGGCCCCCAATCTGCCATTTCTCGTCCTTGTTCTGTTCTTTGCTCAATGAAAGTGATTAATTTCCAAGCACACTTGTGATGTTCAAATCAGTGGTTAGAGCTTTATAGAGAAAGAGTGAGAAACTTTGGTTGGAAGAAAAGGGAAAATGGGGCGGAGGCTTAGCTCAGTGGAGTTTCTTTGATTCATTCTTCTTTGCTTTGCCATTTTGAGCATCCCATCCCATGTGCTTGTTTCAGAATAACTTCCCTTACTCTGCTTCCTATTTGTTCATTCTTTAACGGTTTACCAACTCACGATTCTATAACGACGAATTCGACACCGGATAGTCTCGGTCATGTTATTTACTCATTGCTTCTAAAAGTGAAGATCATCTCCACTGACCAACACGAGTCATTCTAGCATGTTTTGGTCTCGCTCACATGCATCGTAGGAAAATTCCCATAAGGTCATCCAACGTAAAATTAGTAAAACATGCTTAGCTCTGTGATTGAATCATCGAGAATGTGCACATTGTTGGTATAGGTAGTAACTTTCATTTCTTTCAAGTCTTTCTTAGTTATCTCAGGACTACTCTCATACGGACATAGTTTCGGTTCATTCATGTATCATTCTTTTATTTATTATTACAGATTCAAAACAGTAAATTGTTACTTATGATAATTTGTTGAATCAAAATTTTAATATAGTTTTTTTTAATAATAATTAAGTGTTGATTTCTCTTCCTATCAAGCAAACAAATAATGATTAGGTTGTTACAATAAGAACATTTAATTACAATGGGAACTTATCATTCTTACTTGATACGTGATGTTCAATGTAGATTTCAGGTTGATTGGGCTGAGGAAGCTCTGGATGGAGCCGTATGAGGCAAGAGTGTCACGTACGGTTCTCTGGGAAAGGTGTGATACTCCGTCTCTCTCTTATATTGTGTCGTTCGTCCTCGTAATAAGTGTCTGATGGTCTGAATTTCCAAGGAAATATGATCCTGGCATCTTGATTTCCTCCTTCGATTTAGCTTCATAGAAATACGTTTTTATTGAAATTAAAGCAATTTTTATGGAATTAAAAATTCAAAACTGGCAAGTAATTTTATCTATTTATTTCCAATACTTTTTAGTAAACTGTTCAAAAAGTGTTGTATTTTTACAATTAAAAATTTTAAATAATTTTTAATGTGGTTTCTTTGTTGTCTATGTTGACTTGACATTGTAAAAAATACTTCCAAAATTAAAGAAGAAAATCATTATCTCAACTGGTGGAAAATTAATTAATTAATTAATTATATATATAATAAAAGAAATTAAAAATCTCAAACAAGTTGGAAGTTTGGCTGGATTTCCACGCACATGTTCCTTTCTTTAGTTTATCCTAAGATCTCATTCTTTATAAATACACAGCTTATTCATATGAGGGTGACATCCTATTATTATCCAATTAATTATTTCATTATAATGCAAGACTTTTTATCTTGTCCTTCTCGACTCTCTTCAATAAATTTAAGTAATTTTAATTTGGTCTATATAATTTTAGACGTTTTAATTAATTTATTTCTTTTTATCTAAAATAACAATAAAAAAAGTTAGGGTAGAAAATGAAAGCCACTTCATTAGTTAAGAGAAAACTAAAATTATTCTTTTTGTAAATATCATAATTAAATATCAAATAACTCCAAAAAAAAATTATATATAAACGTTCAAAAAAAAATGAAAGAATTAAAATAAAGTAGTCTAATTTATATATATATATAAATAATAATAATTCAACTTAAATCGTAATTACATTAAAATATATATATACGATTTAAGTTGAATTATTATTATTATTATATATATATATAAATGATCAAAAAATAAAAGAATTAAAATAAAGTATTCTAATTTTTTTATAATTATTATTTTGAAGTATTAGAAGTTTTGGGATTAAAATCGGATTTAAAATTAATTTTTATATTGGAATTACAGAGAAGATGTGAGAACGGTACTCTGAACAAATGTAACGGTAGCAACCAAGAAAAATCCAATTTTATTATTCTAATTCTAGGCTTCGTGTCCACTTCCACTTTTCGATTTTTCCGTGTAAAAGAAACCGAAGTGCACGGGGAGACGGAAGCACCATCTGTGGAACGTGCTAGTCAATTCTCCAGCTCCGATTTCAGCTTGTCGGTGGTCCGGCTAAGTTTCCCGGCGTCGAACCTCCGGCGAAGTTGAAGTTTCCTCTACGATCTTCTCTCTCCGTCTGCAGTCTTGCTACTCCGAACAGTTGCGTTCTTTCTGCAAAGCTGCAAGTTGAACCTCTTATTTCGGGAGGAATTTGAAATGTTCTTTTCCACTTCTTCTTCTTCTTGCTGAAAGCGCTGACTCGATCTGTTTACGATGAACGTCGGTAAGTAATGGAGTCAATAGTTTCTCCTGTTTTTTCTAATTGAACTCATATTTACTGATGTCGACATGAATTTATAGTTAATTGATTGAGTAGGTTTCGCGGAATTTGATTTTAACTGGTATCAGAAGTGTTTGTCGTCGAAATTTAGAAAGTGTATGGTGGATGGTTATTTGGGATGATTGGCTCGTGTTTGATGGTGAGGTTGGTCATATTTCGGTTCTAGTAACATAAGCTGAGTTGTTTCGAGTTGATGCAGAGAAGAGGCGATTGTGAGTTGTTGAAGTCACGTGTTTATCAAAATTCAACCCCCAAGCTTCTGGAATTGGATTGTATTTGAATTAAACTTAGAGATTTTAAGAAACTTGAAATAAACGGTGTTGTTCTTTAAATTAATTTAAGATTATTTACTTTCAGCAGCTTCATTAAGTCCTAGATTATACATATATATAATTTCTTGCGTAGAATAGTTAAATATTTGGAAACTTTGGTCCGTTGAACTCTAGTTTCTTACGTGTGTCTCGATCCTATTCAATGCTTTTCATTCTCAAAATAATTACAGAAGATTATTTTCTTTTATCTCAGGATATGATATTAATGATCTTTATCGAGAAGCACAAACCCGCTGGCTGAAGCCTCCAGAGGTGTTCTTTATTTTACAGAATTATGAAAAATATCAGCTGACGGAGGAGGCCCCTAAACAGCCAACTAGTAAGTAACCTTATTCACTATATTTTTTCTTTGAGAAAACTTTTTGATGGCTTATCATGCTAGAAAGTTGTTGTATACCGTTTAGATTATTATTGAACAGTGGATTTGCAACAGGTGGTTCTTTGTTTCTTTTTAACAAGAGAGTACTCCGTTTCTTCCGTAAAGATGGTCATAGCTGGAGGAAAAAAAGGGACGGAAGAACTGTTGGAGAAGCACACGAACGGCTTAAGGTTTTGTATGATTGCCCCCATTCCATTTAAACTCATTTACTCATTTACTTTTCATTCTGCTGCGGTAATATACCAAGGCATGGCTTTTGGCTAAAACAGTTTGTTTTTTCTTTTTCTGCCTCCTGATAAGGAAATGCTAGATTTTACTCACAAGAGACGACCCTCCCCCCTCCACCAAAAACAAAAAGAAAGCAAGTCCATAGTGGAGCTCTCAACCTTCTATAAGAAAAGGTTTCAATTCAAAAGAGTAATACTAAGTTGATAACTATCAAAAGCTGACAAACGGATACCTCACAAAGAAGAACAAGATCTCACCATCTCTCAAGACCTGATCCAAGGACCTCTCCATCCATATGAGAATTCTAGTATTTTTCTCCATCTACACTCACCACAACATATCATGACAACAAGCCTGCCACAAGACCCCCTTCTCATCACGAAATGAGGAGTTCATCATAATCTCCTCAAACAAAGACAAACAGTTCCTATGACACACCACAACAACCCCGAACAAACTAAAAAACTTACTCCAGAGAGAAGCAAACTGAAAACTCCAAAAAAAGATGATCGAGATCTTCCTCCTGTTGTTTACAAAGAACATGCAATTGCGGATGCAAAACCAAAAAGCAATGCCGCAGGATACAATCGTGGGTGTTGTCTCTACCATATAAAGAAACTTGACTTTCTTAGGGACTTTAAGCTTCCTAAGAGAAGAGAACACTGTGGTCTCTTGAAAGGGAGAAAGGGAGAAAGGGAGAAAGGGAACAAAGGATGGAGAAAAATGAACGAGAAGAGACTAAGATCCCAAGCTTGCAAATTCTTTCTCCCTTGACCAACCCTCTAATTGGAAATATTAGAAAGAAGGTCCACCACCTCCAAAGACTCACATTTAGTGAGGAACCGACCAAGACGAGGGAGATGATTGAGAGGGAGTCAAAATAGAAGCAACGGAAGACCCCCTCTTAACAAACAAGTGATAAAGACTAAAGACGCAGAGACAGCACNAAAAAAAAAAAAAAAAAAAAAAAAAAAAAAAAAAAAAAAAAAAAAAAAAAAAAAAAAGTATGAGGCCCATCCCTTATATTGGACAGTGAGGGAGGTAGAACTATAGGAAGTAAAAATATTGGACAGTTTACACCAAGATATAGCTGGGTAAACAACACTGTTAGAGAGTCCTGTATAAGTCTGTGTTGTTTCTGCGAATATTCTTTGGTTTCTTTCTTTCCACAGGTTCTAAAAGAAAGTCATGATGAGGTTTTTCCATAATAGGGCTTTTGCACTCTTGAAAGGGTGGTACGTTAAGGCCATGTCTAATAGATCCTTTACTTCCCTAGGAAATGTGAGATGCTATCTGAATATATTGAGAATCGTTGTCTAAAAATTCTGAGCGGATATGCATTGCATAAATAAGTGACTTTTTGATTCATTTCCTTTCTTACATCAAGGACACCAATTTTGAAATAGGTCATGTAGGACTTTTTTTTTTTTTTTTTTTTTTAAGATTTTCACTTGTGCTAATGGCTTTATGTGCTATTTCCCAAAAGAAGAACTTCACCTTTTTAGGGTGATGTTCTTTCCAAATTGTCTTTGCTAGTGTGAGATTTATTGCTTCTATTTTTTCCCTTATGTCCATCATCAAAGATTTTGTAGAGAAGACCTTGTCAGCACTGGGGAGCTAAGTCAATGAGTCTGCTTCATTATCCTTTAGGTTCCTACCAAGCTTCAAGTTCTAGAATTTGTTGGCAACATTCCATGTATCTTTGATCTTGGCTTATTTGCTATGAGAGAGTTTGTACAAAAGTGGATACTGTTGGGCTAGTGTAATGTCTTCAATCCATGGGTCAGTCCAAAAAGAGGT